TCCTTCAATAAAGAAATACAGACTAACAGCCTGGATTTGAAAACAGGATCCATCTTTCTGCTATATGCAAGAAATACACATGAACATTAAAGATATATAACAGCTGAGGATAAAAAGAATGGAAAAAATATTCCAAGCAAATGAATCCAAGAAACAAGTAGTGCAATTATTTTAATATTAATATTTTTTTAATAAAAAAAACCCAAACAAATCAGAACTCAAACCAAAACTAACTAGAAGAGATAGGAAAGGAAACTATCTTCTCATCAAAGGAAAAATCCACCAAGCAGACACTGCAATTCTTAACATCTATGTGTCAAACACAAGGTTACCCAAGTTCATAAAAGAAATACTAGTACAGCTTAAATCACATACTGACCCTCACACAGTAATAGTGGAAGATTTTAATACCTACTCTCACCAATAGACAGGTCATCCAGACACAAACAGAGAAGTGATGGGGCTCAATGACATCATAAACCAAAATCTACTAACATATTTATAAAACATTTCACCCAAGGATAAATGAACGTACCTTCTTTTCAGAAGTTCATGGAACCTTCTCCAGAATTGATTGTTGCAGGATATTTGATCACACTGTGAACTCCAAGAAAAACCTGTTTGTAGTTGTGGTGTGGCTCAGTTCTAGGGCATACACCTTTCTTTAAAATTTTATTTTATTAATTACACTTTATTCACTTTGTATCCGCCCCATAGGACCCTCCCTCCTCCCCTCCCGGGCCCACCCTTCCTCCCTTTTCTTCACACATGCCCCTCCCCAAGTCCACTGATAGGGGAGGTCCTCCTCTCCTTCTTTCTGATCTTAGTCTATCAGATCACACCAGGAATCCAAGAGCTTTTTGCTTGAACAGGGTTAAATAAAGTCAACCACAGGTCAATCGGTGGAGCAAGCAACCAGTTGACAGGGAGTGAACATAGAAAAAAACATAGAGAGTAAGAGAAAGAAGGATGGATAGAGAGATGCACAGAAGTAGAACAGAGAAACATTCATTTTGAGGGGTTTTGAGACAACATGGAGAAAGTGTTTTGTTTTGAGGTGCTGGCTGAGGAGGAAGGTCAGCGGGGTGCTTTCTCTGCCTCTTTGAGCTAGCAGGCTTTCACCCCAGCATCTGGCTCTTGAGTCTTTATTGGTAAAATCGAACAACTGAGATTTTGTTAAAAACAATCACACACTTAGACACAAAGCAGGTCTCGACACAAGATGCCTGAAATAACACCCTGCATCCTATCTGACTACCATGGATTAAAGCTAGATATCAATAACAGCAGAAACAATAAAGTCATGGAAACTGAACAACTTCCATGAAAAATGGATCAATAAAGAAATTTAAAAATATCTTAGAATTGAATGAAGATGAAAATACAACATACCCAAACTTATGGGCCACAATAAAGGTAGTTCTAAGAGGCAAGTTCATAGCACTAAGTACCTACAAAAAAAAAAAAAAAAAAAAAAAAAAAGTTGAAAGGATCTTATATTAGTAACTTAATAGAACTGAGAGCTCTAAAATAAAAAGAATAGACAATACCCAGAAAGAGAAGATGGCAATAAATAACCAAACTAAGGGCTGAAGTCAATAAAACAGAAACAGAGAAAAAAGTACAAAGAATCAATTCTTAGATAAAATCAATAAGATTGACAAACCCTTAGCCAATTAACTGAAAGGTGATGAAAGAAAATCCAAATTAACAATGCTCCATACCCAGTGGTGGATGACTAACACAAAGCCAACTCAATGGCATTCTTGGAGGTGCTTCTGTCTCATGTTTTGTGATTTTTTTTTTTTTAAACTTCATAGGTCTTTTGAGTAAATAAGTGTTTTATGTTTTTATGGGATTTCTGTATGTGTGAATATGCATGTCTCTACACTAATATGTGTTTTTTATGCTTTTTATTTGGCTTTTTCTTCTGTTCTGTCCTATTCCAATTTGTTTGTTTTCGTTTTAGCTAATTTTATCTATTATTATTCTTTAGGCGCCTGTTTATTTTCTAAGAAAGACAATAGAGGCATGGATGAAAGTAGGAGGTTAGCTGGGGGAGAAATTTGGAGTTGAGGGAAGGGAAATTGTAATCAGAATATATTGTGTGAAAAGTGTTTTCAATAAAATAAAAATAGAAAAATAGTATCTTGTTATGTTATATACCTATATATACATCTAATGTTTCCACATAAGGCTGTGCGTTTCCTTCAAAATAAAGACTTTCCTAGTCCTTTTAGTTGGTAAAATGTTATAACAACCTACTTTTTTCCTTGACTCTTAAGGTGACTTATGAATTAGCTGCTCAATTTTTAATATTACATATGCTTAAGCAACATAAAAATCAACTTTTGCATATGATTTTATTCTATAACTTAGCATGATAGGACATTAGAATGATTTTATATAATAAAGATTTGTTTAAATTTTTGTTGGGTATGGTGGGCACATGCCTTTAATCCCAGCATCTGAGAGTCAGAAGCAGCCAGCTAGATCTCTGTGGGCTTAAGGCCAGGGCTACAAGTGAGACCATTTCTAAATAAATAAATAATTTTGATGAAGTACTTGAAGAGCCCAATTTTTCCATAATTTCTATCATCATGATTCTTCCACCAGCACCTCACATAGAACTGATTTAATCCTAAAGATTGATATTAGTAAGAGTGAACTATCAACCAATGAATTAAAGAAATAAAGGCCCTTCTAACAGATGTGGACAAGGCATACGTGCTGTTAAGACAAGACTCAGTGTCTCTCATTTTCCTGTTAACATCACAATGTAAGCAAATGGCATCCTCTTGTCTGTCTTCACCACAATTTCCCTGAGTTTCCTGTCTGTAGCAGACATCAGACCTCTGCAGCCTAGTGCATGCTAACACCACTTAGAAGGTTTGGTAGCTTCTGCAGAGTCTACAGGACAAGATGGGGAATGGGAGGGTTATCTTTTGCTTAACCAGTACTGGGGATGGAGCCCAGATCCTCACATGCTCAGATGAACTACACCTGTCCATCTTACATTTTGCACCCCCTTCCTCCATTCCTGTCAGGTGAGCAAAGCCTATCCTTTGCCCTGGTTCTCTCTATTGTTTGAACCCACTCCTTCCCACCAATATATATGTCATGCTGTTTTTCTTTTCCCCTTTTTCTGAGACAGGTCCTCAACATATAGCCCTGGTTGGCTTGGGTCTCCCAATGTAGAACAGGCTGGTCTCTAAGCCACAGACATCTTCTGCCTCCTGAGTGGTAAGATTACAAGGCAGGAGTCACCATGCCAAGCAGTTAAGCTGTTCTTATTGCTATGTTTTTCTCTCCCTCCCTAATTTCACCCCCTTTAATGCTCATATACCCTCATGGAATCTTCAATTAAATAAACAAAGTGAAAGCTTCTATTTGAGCCTGTCTCTTTCCTGCGTAATTCCTTGAAATAATCTATTAGATACCTTCATTATTGTGTGTGCACAGGACCCCTTGTGGAGATCAGAGGACAGCTTTCTCCAGTTCTCTTGCTACCATGGGCTGTTCTGGACACAACTCAGGCAGCTTTCTAGTAATCTGCACTTACCTCACCTAGCCCTTTCCCTCTATCCCAGCAACTACAACTTGTCAAATATAAGTGGAAAAAAGAAGTGAAAGTGACATGGTGTGGGAACAAGTACAGGCTGATTCTGCTGAACCTCCAGGCAGGGCACAGTGCATGGCATATAGCAGGTAGGCAGTAAGGGACACATGACTGTACATGGATGGATGGAAGATCATGCCTATTTCCTCTTACCCACCTTCCTCTTTCGATGCCTTTGATGTAGTTTTCTCCTTGGAGGGGGAGCAGTGAGATTTACAATCCCCTGTGGGATGAACAAAAGTGCAGAGACAGATCAGATCACTCATAGCCCATGTTGAGCTCACAGTAGAAAACTAACTGCAGAAGGTTGTCTTCAGCTCTCCACATTGCTATGCACACACAATAATAAAGGCTTATGATAATTATTTCAAGGAATTTCGCAGAAAAGAGAAAGACCTGGGCGCAAAGGCCCAGTACTCCATGGAGTGGTGGCCTCAGGCCTCAGTCTGGTCCAGGTCCCTTCATGGGGACCTCAGCTTTAGCCCTGAACTTAGCTCCTGAGTCTTGTGGTGCTAGGCTGGCTTGCCCTTGTGGCCTTTGTCCTCGGAATTTAATCATGTACATAATACATTAGCACAGACATTCACGAGGGCCTGAGCACCCCAGAGCCCAGCCCAGCGGAGGCACCAGCTTTCCCAGTACTTGACTGTGCCGGGGTCTGCTGCAAAGCGCGCGTGGTCCAGTCAAAAGAGCAGTGCAGCGATCAGCTCTCTTTAGTCTCCCTGGGCGGCAGCGCTTTACCGAAAGCCGCAACAGCTGAGTGAGTGACGCAAAGCTAAGACCCTTGCATCAAAGAAACTTGGCGACACTCCGGTTTTGTTGGAGGATGTTGGGGTTTCTTGATGACCGTTGGAAGGCGCGCGCTCAACAGGCGCTGGAGCCGTGGAGCGTCCAGACTGTTGGGGTTCCGGTCGCGCGCGCGCGCTGGGGGAAGGGATGCAAGGCGAGCAATTCCACTTCTCCGCGTGTCACCAGAGAGCACCTGGCCGCCGTGTGTCTAAAACTGCAGAGATCAATTTAGATAGGCTCCGCAGGCCTTCGCGGCGCAGGCACTGTGTAGAATCAAAACAAATTCTTTAGTAACCCAAGGGCCACTGTTATCAATACCGGTTACAGCTGGATTCTCACTTCTCAGCGCCAAGAAAGGCGCTCCATTCGCGACAGGTGCAGAATCGTCCTTTCACGCGGCCACGCCTCTTACATCTCCCACCCCACGTGGGCTGTTTAAAGGTCTTGGGTGAGGCAGAGCCCTGGAGAAGTCAGGGTGCAGAACGCCCGCGCCCAATCCGTGTTCTCCGGCCTGTGACCACATTCGGCAGGCACGCCCTCTGCACCTCTATAAAAGCCTCAGCGAAGAGCTCTCCCGGAGCACCGCCCTCGGGCGCCCTACCTCGCCAGCTTCACAAGCGCGGCCACCACTGTTCCCAAGGGAGCCCGGCTTTACTTCCTCGCCTTCTCGACCTCCAGCACGGCGTGGCTGTGCCAGCCTCGTGGCTTCTCCTCCTCCGCTGACTCTCCTGACCCTGGGCGGCCCCCGAGGTTCCGATCCGCAGGTGAGCAGCGCCAGCGCCGAAGTCTGGCGAGCTCACCGTGCACAGCCCAGGTGCGGCCCGCGCAGAACTCTGGTCCCTGCAGGATGAAGAACCAGATGCTGGAAGCCGTGTCCCTCCTCCTGGAGAAGCTGCTTCTCATCTCCAACTTCAAGCTCTTTAGCGAGTGCGCTCCAGGAGGCACAGGGAGGAACCGTCCCTATGAAATCAGCTCTTTCCTCCGGGGCGATGTGCTGGAGGTGTCACGGACCCATTTCACCCACTATGGGATCTACCTAGGGGACAACTGTGTCGCCCATTTAATGCCCGACATTCTGTTGGTCCTGACCAATGACAAGGGACGCACTCAGAAGGTGGTCTCCAACAAGCGTCTCCTCGCGGGTGTCATTTGCAAGGTGGCCAGCATCCGTGTGGACACAGTAGAGGACTTCGCCTACGGAGCAGACATCCTCGTTAACCACCTAGACGAGACTCTCAGGAAGAAGTCCTTGCTCAGCGAGGAGGTGGCGCGCAGGGCGGAGCAGCAGTTGGGGCGGACCCCCTACAGCCTGCTGTGGAACAACTGCGAGCACTTCGTGACCTACTGCAGATACGGCGCTCGCATCAGCCCGCAGGCTGAGAAGGTATGCGACCCGTGGCAGCTGGGGCTGGGGTCCGGGGTCTTTTGGGACAACCCCTACCTCACTAGCGAGTTCTAGATTAAGTAGAGAGTTACAGTGTTTCTAGGGGAGGTCTGGTAAACAAAGACAGGCAGTTTGCCTAACAGAAAGGATATCCTCAAAATGGACAGTAAAAGGGTGTGGCCACACGGACCGCTTCTAGTGATTCCTGTTATGCTGTGTCAGTCATCCTGGTCTGCACACAGGACGTACATCTGGGGCGAGGGACTTGGAACTTTCCCCAAGAAGTGCAAGTGACAGGAAGGCATCCAGTTTTCTCTTCGTTTGGCGCATAAAGTGAATTTTCGTTATAGGCTCAAAATTCCTGGTGGGAGGACATTCCCTTTCTTCCCGTGTTTGCCTCAGACAGGTTTTTCTCTGGTGTTGTGACTTTAATTCCCATCCTCATTCATTGTTAAGTATCTCCTAGCCATCAGCCCCAAAGGTAGGTTGGACTTTAGGTTCCCGGAGATGAAAACAATTTTCAGGGCCCGTACATTTTGAAAGGTAATTTTTATCCTTACTTGGGAGTGGCACCCAAGTATTAGAACATGATGAAGTAAGCTACAAGTCCAAAGGGGAAGGAGATTATTTTTCAAAAAAAACTACTTAACTCACAAAAGATAGTTTATGTTTTTAATCCTGCACTTCATTAGCAAATGGATGCTTCTCAGCCTTGACTGTAATTATTAAAGCGGGTGCTAACATTTGCTCCTCTTAATGGATCCTGGTCAACCACACAGTAAGGTTTGGTGATATTCTGTATGTTTAGATGCTTTTGAAACGAAGAACAAGCAATCACACTCTATAGTCTAGATTTAATTGACATACCTTGAGTAATTTTTTGACACAGCAGAAAGTGAAGCTATTGGACTTTTATATATTGCTATATTAAACTTCTTACAGATTTTTTTTTAACTGAACCAGAATTAACTTATTCTAGGAATCATTTTCTATGGTAAATTTAAATACAATTACGATACAGTGCAAAGATTCAAGAGTCTCCCCCGTTAGCCAAGGCCTGTTTAGAGGTAAACTTCTTCACATTTACAAACATTAGCTCCAAAGGTATGCAAAAGAAGCCACAATGGATTTAGTTAAGAACCAAGCCAATCATTGCTGTAAGGAAAAATAGTTTTCCTTTCCAAAGTGAGACTTGCCCTTTCATACCACACAAGTGACACTGTGTTACCTTTTTCAACACAAAAAAAGGTACAAGTGCTTTTTACAAACAGTATAATATTAATCACATCAAGAGCTAGTTGGGTGGTTTCTAATTTGGAGATATTAGTGGGGCAGCATACTCTCCAGTGCAACTGAGTTTCTGTGTTTCCCTCTTCATGACCTAACAATCTAGACCCAGCCTAGAAGACTAGATTACCTCAGGAAAAAAATTCTCAGCCAAATGTTCTAATTCTAAGAACTTTTTTTTTTTTTAAATAAAAGGGGCATCAGCATATTATTTCTACTTTGACATTTTAAAAAAGATTTTTACTTTTTTGTTTCTAATTACATGTATGTGTGTGCATATGGGCACAACTGCAGGTGCCCTTGGAGGCCAGAGACTTGGCATCCTGGGAGGTGCCAGGCAGGTTGTTAGTCATCTGGAAGTCAGTGTTGGGATGAATTTGAGACCTCTGCAAGGTCTCAGCACGTATTGTTAAGCCATCTCTCCAGCTCCATGGTTTCAACCTTCTAGAAACACAAATCATTATTTGTTTCTGGGTCTGACTGTTTAAGTCTTCTTCACAGCTTTCCCATCTTAGATCAGCACGACAAAGCCATCTCTTCTCAAATCTGAGTTTACAAAAAACTTCAACGCCACGCCAGTGACTGACGAGATTCACTGGGTCCAGGTGCTTACTGCTCAAACGTGATGACTGCAGCTCTATCTCTGAACTCCACAATGGAAGGAAGGAGCTGACGTCCAAAAGCTGTCCTCTTGCATTCACACAGGTGTTATGGCACTGGCATATACACTCAAACCTCTCTAATAAGAAGCTTAAAAATGCACTGAACAAGAGCCTTTACGTTTTTGTGAGATGTTCTCATATCTTCTGCAATTCTCTTATTCTTTTTTTCTAAAAACTGACAACTTCATGGATGTATATATTTTTATCACATACCTCCTCCTACTAAAACTTCCTTCTTCTTCCAGCTGACCCACTTCTACTTCACAAATTCTCCTCTGACTTTCATGGCTTTCTGTGTCTGTGAATCAATGAGTTTAGTAGTGTCTTGGCCAGTGTTCTATTGCTGTGATGAGACATGAGGAGTGCAGCAACTCTTATAAAGGAAAGTAGTTAGTGGGGTTAGTCTATTATTATTGTGGTGGAAGTATGGTGGCAACCAGGCACTTAGGTTGTTGGAGAAACAGCTGAGAGTTCTACATCCAGATCTGCAGGCAGAGGAACAGAGAGCCACTGGGCCTGCCTTGGGCTTTTGAAACCTCAAAGCCCACCCTCAGTGACACACTTCCTCCAATAAGGCCACACCTATCCCAACAAGGCCACACCTCCTATCCTTTCTCAAGTAGTGCCATTCACTGATGACTAAGCATTCAAATACATGAGCCAATGAGGGACATTCTTAATCAAACCACCACAGCAGTTAAGATTATTTGTATAAGCATGGGTTGGGAGTTATTTATTGGAGTATGGACAACTAGCAAATGAAAAATTGACACCCTCTCCTTCATTACCCATTAACTTTCCAGTGTTGTCTCAGGAAGGGTTAACGGGCCTCCCAAGACCCTCTAAGACTTGCCTGTATTGCATGCAGGAATGGTGTCCTGGCTCAGTGCAGGCAGGCACAGCTGCTGTGAGTTCCTAGCTGTGCTGTGACCAAGAGACAGCATTTTCATGTCACTCTTTCCATCCTCCAGCTCTTATATTCTTTCCACTCCTCTCTTCCAATATTGCTTGTTTTTTTTTTTTTTAGAAATCATAAAATTGAGGCATTTTAAAACTGATATTGAGTGTCAGATTATTGCAAAATTAAAGTCTCTTTGCTTTTAACTTTTCTTGTTTGTTATACTTTTTCTGCTAATAATCTTTTGTCTAACTTGTCATTGCTAGAATGAATGCAGATACCTCTTTACAAATGACTCAATGTTTACAAAAGTGAACTTCTTGACACCTTCTATACATTTACTATTCTTTTTTTTTTAAACAGGATCTTCATGTAGCTAAGGTTGACCTTAGACTCCCAATCTAGCTGAGGATGACCCTGAATCTCTGATCTTCTGATGCCTCACATCCAACTTACACTGTGCTGAGGATCAAACCTAGGGTGTCCTGCATCTAGGCAATCTTACCTCCTGAGCCACATTTCTAGCCTTTCTGGCCTAATGGCCAAGTGCCTACAGAATAGGGGCAGGAGAGAAGGGAGGAAAGGAAAGTAAGGAGGTAAAGAGGGAGAGAAAGAGGGAGAGACAAAGAGAGAAGGGGACAGAGTACATGTTCATTCATGCACTCATGTGCATCCACACACAGGAAAGAGAAACAAGGTCTGTGTCCTGGGCTGGCCTCTAACTGTAGATAGGCAAGAAGGACCTTGAACTTCCAATATTCCTACCTCCATCTCCCAAGTGACAGGATTATAGGTATGCATCACCACACTTCATTTCTGTGGTACTGGGAGTTAAATCCTTAGCTTCACGCATTCTAAGCAGGTACTTCCCTAGCTGAGATACCACCTCAGATCCCTATTCAGCTTGACTTTAACCACTTCATGACAAAGCACTTGTTATTCTGTATCTTATTAGTTTAGTAAAAGAGACACATTTGCTGTCTGTCCTGTATATAATACTTGGATGGCTAATAGGTTATTGCATATTTCTTTAGATATTATTTAGAACTATGAATAGAGATGGACTTCCACTCACATATGGACTAAACAGCATGGTCAAGCTTGGCTTAATGACATTTTACATATATCATTAGGCTATTTACTTGTACACAGAAGGCACTTATATCAGTAATGGAATCTTACAGGACTGCTTCTACATCTGTGGTAGGTCCTCAGTTGAGGTATCACTATGAGGTCCTGACTGTAGTAGGCCTGCTCATTGCGTTCATCAATAATTTAGAATTTCAGGCAGGCACAGTAGTGCATACCTTTGGCCCCCCAGAATTCTAGGTACTTATATTTCAGGCCATCCTGTTCCAGACAGTGAGTCCCAGGCAAGCAGGGGTAATGTAGTGAAAGCCTGTCTCAAAGCAATGAAAACAAGAATTTAAAAACCAGGGCTGGAGATGGCTCAGCAGTTAAGAGTTCATACTGCACTTGCAGAGGACCCAACTTTGGCTCTCAGCGCCCTCCTTGGGCAGATCATAACTGCCTATAACTCTAGCTCCAGGTGTGGGGCTGTGTTTCTCATGTGCTGGCCTCTATGGGCACCTGCACTTATGTGCACATGCCCACACACAGATACACACATATATAATTAAAAATAATAAAAATAAATCTTAAAAAGTAAGAACTTTAGAAACTTTCCCAGCTGCTCAGGAGATTTCATTAAGCCCTGGAGTTCTGGGTCAACTTGACTAACACAGCAAGACCATATTTTAAAAAAGGATCTTGAGTCTGGAATGAATAGCAAAACTCACATGAAAACGACAGTTGTTAATTGTAGCAATGAAAATGATAACTGTCAAGAATATAGTAGTGATAATAATCACTGTACACCTTATTTTTATGCAGTATAGAGAAGAACACTATTCTTCCACATGAAAGGTATAGGTTATCTTCAGGGCTATCCCTTAAAGGTGGAAACTATATTTAATCCCTTTATTTCCAGGAGGCTATGGCAACCCAGTGTGACTAACTCTTGTCTTTAGATTGTAAGAATTATAAAAAAATCTGACTGATTTCATCAAATTTTAGGGTAGTGAAGTAGAAGAATTGCCTAATTTCTGTTCTTGTTTTAACTCAAGTTTAGAAAATTCTTCCTTAGGTTAATTTTAGAATATGATAATTAAAATTAATTAATTTAATGCTGTTGTTAATCTTTAATGCTGAGTAAATTTTACGTGATTCATTCTATAGTTTTCTATAACATTCTGAGTATTATTTCATAAGTCACTGGAAACAAAGTTTTCCTGGTGAACACAAAACAACTGGGAAGACTACTTAGTGGTGTATGTATTTCTTTTTAGCCATGGTTCTAATAGTCTCAACTTTTGTTTTCCAGTTTTATGAGACTGTGAAGATAATCATTCGTGATCAGAGAAGTTGTCTTGCTTCAGCTGTCTTGGGATTAGTGTCTATTGTCTACATGGGCCTGGCGTCATACATGACGCTTCCTGCAATTTGTATCCCATTCTGCTTGTGGATGATGTCTGGCTAGCTTCCAATTTGAATGTGCACATATGATGTCTGGAAATACGTTTCTACTTGTAGAGCACGAAACATTACAAGCATTGTTGAGAAAACTGTGGCCTGCAACACTGTGTTCTAGATAAAAAGTGATTAGGAATCTAACAAAGTGCTTACCGTGTAAGCGGGAACAACGCCTTTCTGTGTCTACTTGGGCAGTTCTGCGGCAGAGCACCATGAGCCCTTGGAAGCATAACAACCTGTCAGAGCTCAGCAGACCCAGAGAAACAGACCCTGAGGTGATAGCCACAGGAAAGCATGTGGGTTATTCTTTTCTCCTGTAGTCACTTTGCTGTTAGGCTTATCGGCTGAGATCACTAATTTTATTGTAATGTATTCTGCTTATTTAATGACTGATATTAAAGTGAAAATTTTCCCTCATTTAGATGAATATGTTTGATAATTGGCCAAAAAGAAGCCAAAGCTCACATTCTCTTTTGCCTTTCTTCATGTAATAATATAATTTCAAGTCATTCAAGAATATTATTTTCATGTTCTGAGACCAGTGTTGAAAGAGCTAAGAGTAACTGGTCAGAAAGCACAGAAATGTTTTCTCCTGTAGAAACAGTGACAGTAGCTATTCATATTTACTTTTGAATAATCAGATATCTATTTTTCTTTTTAATGCCTATATGACTACTTTCAAATACAGCAGAGATATAGGATTTACAAACTCCAGCATCTGGTGCATAAATGTGCCAAATAAATATACCGATATCTGTATACACATAGATTGATAAGTCAACTGTATTTCTGGCTGCTTTATTACACTAGTGTAATTATTAATGAGGAGCTACAAAAGTGAACAAAAATCAAGTCCAGTGTTTTTCCTGTGCCTGTGCCCTTGAATCTGTATATATACACACATATGTATGTATGTATGTATGTCACAGGATGGACACCTTTTAAAGCTAAATTTACTAATGTCCCTTAAAAAAAAGAATCTCAAATTTGTTTTACAGTCAATTTTCTACTTTAACTATGGTTTACAAACTTATGTATGTCGCAGCAGTATATAAAGCCTAAATAAGTAGAGCCAAAAAACATTACTCTGATACAATTAGTAATTCCAAGCAGGGAAAATCACTGAATCCACTGGATCATAGTGGAGAGCCAGCAGTGTTAAAAGCATGCCTTCAAGATTGTCTCTAAAAATGGCACAGGTTGGAGTCACATGGCATGTCCTGGACTTGTTTTATGAGAGGTGGTACACGCCACAATACCTGTACACAGAAGGCTGAAGTAGCAAATGGAGAGCTCCAGGACTGGATGGGCTAGAGGACAATACTGCATGTTGTCTGTTAGCTGTCAAGACTTACAAACAGGCCCTGGAGAGATGACTCCACAGCTAAGAGCTATTGCTACTCCTGCGAAGGACCAGGATTCAGTTGCCAGTAGCTTCTGTAATTCCATTGCCTAAGATTCAATACCAGGTTCTGGCCTCATGAATACAGCATACATGGTAGACAAAGATAGAGGCAGGCAAGACATACACACACACTAAAAATAAAGCTAAAAAAAAAAAAAAAAAGAAAGAGAGAAAGAAAAGAAGGAAAGAAAGAAAGGAAGAAAAAAGAAAGAAGAAAAAAAGAATCACAGAATAACCAAGCCTGTAATCTGAATGCTTGGCATGTGGAGAGAGGAAGACTCGAGTTCAAGACCACCTGTAAGACTTGTTTGTATCACCCAGAGGGGTTCAAGACCAGCTTGCACTACATAGAGAGATATTTATGGAGGAAAAGAGGGTTTTTGTCAGTGATCCAACTGGAACAAACTGAAGAACAGATTTTAGTTCCGTTGATATTTTATTACCCAGAGTTTTCCTACAGCAAATTCAGTTGGAATATAATGATAATTAAACTTTAATGTTCCAATTAAACATTTAGTTGTTTAAATGTCTTATATCACTTAAACATTGAATGGAAAAATTAAAGAATATAGGTGTTCTATGGGCCTCTTCAAACCATTAAATTACCTTAAGTATCTGTGCATTCTGACAGCCATTGTGTTAGTGCCTCCTCCCTTCTCATCCTAGTAGGAGGGGTTTAAGTGAACTCATTATAACCTTTTTGCCAGACATCAGTATTGTAGGAAGCAGAAAATACTGTTTGAAATTAAATATACTCAGTTAGTGGTTTCTCCTTACCTCCTGTAGAAATCCCTGGGCCTAGAAGTAGCATAAGCAATCTTGACTCTCTCCATGTTATTACACTAAGAATCATTCATCACTCATTGGATGTTCAGTCTGTGCTAGGCATCCAAGTGCTACAATTTCATGTCCTGGTATTATTTTACATTTTTTGAGACAGAGTCTCACTCAGTAGACCAGATTTACCTCTAATGAATTCACTCATAAAGATCATTTGACTCTGCTTCCCAAGTGCTGGGATTAAAGGTATGCTCCACCACTTGTAGCCCAATATTAATTTTTAGCCAGCTACAATAGCATGTATACAGTGTGGTGGAAATATAGAGAAACAAGCAAGTAATTCTGTCTCAAGAATTACTTGAAGGAGGCAATAACAAGCAGAAGCTGAGAAACCATGAAGTAATTTTGTTACACTGACATCATTCAAATGTACTTGGAAGAGGGAAAGAAGGGAGGTCCTGTTTGGTAAATGTTACACAGCACCAGAACTGATGAACTTGTAAATAAGAGTATCCCTTTTGTTTTTCCCATTTGCTTAGTTTGTTAACAAGGTAGGAAGAAAGATGTCAGTTATGGGAGAAACCTTGGGCCAATCATTTGTTTTCTAACCTGAGGCAGCAGGTCATAAATTTCTCTAGCCTTCATCAGTCAAAGCTCATCTTTATGATTCAAGTTCCTCATATTACTGTATTTCTATTCTATTAGTGATAGCTAAGTCATATCTGATGATGTTTTATGTCATCTCTTGATTTGTTCTTTGCATAGATGAAGGCCAAACGGTCTTACCTAATTTAAGATTAATGTAAGTGTCAGGGAGTAGGTTGTAAATGGAATGAAAAGATATATGAGACATGGGCTAAACTATATGGTCTAACAGTCATAGTTGTACTGGAGTTTCAGTGATTGACATCTGAATAGAGGTAACTGAAGGCACACAGAGAGAAGGGACTCATTTTAGTTGTTGAAACCAAAATCAGACAGTGGGCCCTGAGACTTAAATGATGGGACAGGTTTTGTAAAGAACATTCCACACATGGGAACAGCATGAGGAATGCACTGAACTCACCTACAACATGCATCATGAATAGCTGTGAGGCATTCTACATCAGCCAAAGGCAAGTAGTTTAGGGGCTAGCAGCGGTGGTGACTAGACATGCACAAACACAAAGCAATCCTGAGATACTGTAAGTCTCTTGTAAACCAAGAAGTTGGACTTTCTGGCTAGGCAGTGGAGAATTGGAGTACAGCAAAGTAACTCCAAGAATAAAGCAGAAGGATGGAGGTTGGGGTGGGATAAAGAGACCTCACAGTGAGTTTAGCTCAAGTTTTTACTCTGTCTAATAAGGATTTTCAACCTTCCAAATGCTGCAACCATTTAAAGCAGTTCCTTATGTTGTGGTAACCCACAACTATAAAATTATTTTCACTGCTACTTCACAACTGTAATTTTGCTACTGTTATGAGTCATAATGTAAATATCTGATATACAGGATATCAAATATTTGACCCCTGTGTAAGACTTGTTTGATGCCCCAAAGTGTCATGCCCACAGGTTGAGAATCACAGGTCTAGATGAATTGATTACATCAAAAGAAATTAACTTCACAACTATACATTGAATACTCCTGACCTTTGCTCTGCAAGGCATGCTCCTTTCTAAAGACACGCAATCAAGTTTGGATTGACTGTTTTAAATCTGTCAGAGCCTATTTCTTACTTTCCTGTTTTCTATTTCATATTGTTCATGTCCAAGACTAAAAGCTGTTTTCCAAGAACACGTAGTCACTGCAATGGCAGAGATTTTTTGTTATGGATAAGAAGTATATTGGAAGAATCTTCATCTTATATGATCTAGCTGGGTTTTAATTAACCTCAATTTTTTAAAGTTAAACTAAGTTTATATCGATATACATGTACTTTGAATAAAATCAGTTCTATTCCTCATTTTCTTGTCTTTCAATTTTAAATACCTAAGGGTAGACATCAAATAGTTTTTGAACTCTGTAGCCTGAAAAATATTGCCTCTCTAAGCTATTTTACTATTACTAACTGTAGCTCTATATAGTGGAAATGAAAAATTTATATGGATCTGACTGTAGACTGATACGATCTTTGTTACCCACATATTTAAGCCTACCTTAATTATGAGGGATGAAAAAACAAATCCTTCATGCATCTGAAAAAATTAGCCACAGTAACTCATTAGAGCTAGAGCTATGCAACCAGACTTTTAATGCTACCAAAGCAACCTGCAGCTGTACTCTGGCTGTAACTGAGAAGGAAATGAGGTCTAAATTGAGTACCAGGGAAGGAGGATGTTAAAGAATGTAGTTTCTCTGGGTACTGACTAGGTGCCCTATCTGGATTCTGCCTGCCCTAGTCTTGCTATCTCGGATGATGGAGGCTTGTAGGCTGGAAGACTCTCTTCATATCAGCTGGTCATTAGATCCTTTAGATCCAGGGTCCCCACCCTACAGCATCTAACTTCATTATAATCTCACTTACATACTAAATAACACATTCCAGTATTAACACAGCTAGCAAAAAAGGTAGTTCACAAATTCCTAGAAAAATCTCCTGATTCCCAGTAAGACATTAAAATTCCTTGCCTTTAATAGATCACTCTTCCCTTTCTTCTCACCCTATGTCTATAATCTTCCAACCCCCATGGGCTGAGAAGTTGATTCTAAGTTTCTTTCTCGTTTTTCATTTTCTTGGTGAAGAATAAAATTCTCCTTTACTACTCAGTTGCTGGTGGCATTATTAGCTCCACAATTCTAAGGGGAGAGGTTTGCTTGAGGGCAAAGGGTAACAATATTGTTAGGCATCCAATTAAAAATTAGAAGAGTAAAGACTACAGAGATATCCCAGCAGTTAAAAATGCTTGCTGGTCTTGCAGAGGACCTGGGTTCTGCTCCTACACCCACATGAAAACTCTCAACTGCAGATAATTCCAGTTCTAGGAGATGTGACAGCCTCTTCCTACCTCATTTGGCACCAGGCATGCATATGGTGTACATACGTACATGCAGACACTCAAAACACATAAGAAATTAAATCTTAAGAAATATCAGAAGCCTTCAAAACACTGAGGAGTTACTTCTCTCTCATGAATTTTGAAACCCACCTCTGGTGACCTTAGTAACATTAATTTTAAGAAAAGAGAAAAAAAAATCACAAGTGCCTTTTGACAAAATTTGAAACATCATTCAAAAGAAAGGAACATGGAGGCAGCAAGGCTTTGTTAAAGCTCTAAGAGAAGGGTATTTTCTCCTGGTAAAGTATGATTATTTTACAGACTTTTTTCTTTAACTAAAAAAAGAAATCTACTCTGTTTTATGCTTTTTGTTTAAAAGCTGGGAAAAAAGTTATCTCTCTGCTCCTGATAAAGAACAAAGACTAATATTGTATTGCTCTCCTGTTAAAACTAAGAGTTAATTAAACAGAACAAAAGAATTAATTCTAATGGTCCTATCAATGATCTGTGCAGGAAAATGCCCCAGAGGAAAGCTGTCTGTTACAGAGACTTTAGAAAACTATATAACACCTACCCAGACATGTCTTTATGATGGTCTTGGGCTGTCCACAATCAGTCTGTGAGAGTTTTCCTCTGCCAAGGCTGCTTTGGCCTTTGCCTACTCTCAACTCTTTCAGTTCTATAGTAAATACTGCCTATTTTCTCTACTGTGATCTATGTGTCATTTGAATCCATTCAATAGGGAACACAAGGTTAGGAGGCCAAGGGGGAAGCCAGAAGGAGATCGCTAGAACACTATCAATACTGAAGTAAAGAGATCTCTGTTTTCTAGGCCATTTCAGGAACAGGCCACAATGAACATAAAGGCACAAAGCGATGTGAGAGCACCTAACACAGTGGAGTTCATACAAACTAAGAATAATGCTTTTTGTGTTTAAGCTGTGCTTTCAGAAAGACATTCCCTGTCACAATGGCTAAGATCAATAACACAAGTGACAGCTCATGCTGACAGTGATGTGCAGCAAGGGGAACACCTGTCCACTACTGGTAAGGTGCAAACTTGTATGGCCACTATTGAAATCAGTGTGGTGGTTCCTCAGGAGGATGGGAATCGATCCACCCCAAGATCCAGCTGTACCACTTGTGGGCATATACCCAAAGGATGCTTCATCCTACCACAGAGCTACTTGCTTAACTGCTGCTCTACTCATAACAGCCAGAAACTGGAAACAGACTAGATGTCCCTCAGCAGAAGAATGGGTAAATAAAACTTGGTACATTTATACAATGGAATATTATTCTGTTGTTAGAAATAATAAAATCATGAAATTCACAGGTGAATGGATGGAACTAGGGAAAAAATCATCCTGGGTGAGGTATTCCAGACCCAGAAAGACACACGTAGTATGTATTTGCTTATATGTGAGTATCAGCTGTTAAATCAATAGTAACCAAACTGCAATTCATAGAAACATACAGGTTAGCTATAGAGTAAGGGACTAGGGTAGCAGACAGCTCTCATTAGGAAATAGTTATGAGTGGGTGGGGTCTGGGATAGGAAGACCATGTGGGGAGGGGAAGGCAAGAGACACAGAAAGGAGGGAATACTGAGAGAAAGCTAAAATAAACGGCCATATGAGAGGTAGTGTGGAAACCTAATACAGTAGAAGCTTCCTAAAATACATACATACATGAAGGCAATCTAAATGAAGTCACAAAATAATGGGGGAGACAGAGCCCTAACTGGTCATCTCTTGTAACCAAATAAAGCATCCAATCTCAGGACTGGGTTACATTTAATTGAGTTGTTGGACAAAGGGGTCCCATGGAATTTTCATAATATCCCAGATTGTTGCCAAGACCTGGAAAAGTCCATGATTTAATTAAAGAATAATTACCCCCTCCTATTACATAGTAAGTTGAAATGATACATCTCCATACAGGACTAAAAGCAAAGCTCAATTCTAATCTTTAAAAAAAATCATTAAAAAATTTAAGTGTGTGTGCTTGCATGAGTACACAGTGTGCTCGCAGGTTCCTGTGGAGCCCACAAGGCAGCTTCACATCCTCCGGAAGTGAGGTGATAGGGGCCTAGGGGCTGTCATGCAGACTCAAGGAACAGAATGCAGGTCCTCTGCAAGAGCAGTAAGTGCGCTTAACCCTCTCAGACAACTCTCTGCTGCTCAATTTTTATTCTTGACTAGAAGTAGTCTTGCTTCAGTGTCCCTCAACAAGCCCTGAAGCTTCTGCTTCTTCATAAGGTAATTCAGGAGGCACTTCCCTTTTCAAGGACAGGGAAGGTGGAATCCAAAGCTCACATGTAATGGGGTTCCATACCCTGTGGCTTTCAAGCCTTCTAAAGTCTGTCTAGCTACTTTAAAATTTATTAATGTATGTAATGGTTTTATGTATGTGGGCCACATACATGCAGTGCCTGGAAGTCTCCTGGAACTGAAGCTACAGATGGATGAAATTCACCCTGTGAACTCAGAACTACGCCCAGGGCTTAATCCCTGAGCCAGCTCTTCAGCTTCCTTTCTATCTCAACAAAGGGACCTGATCAGACTGATCAAGAAAGCAGGTATACACCAGTTAACTCCAATGGTGCCTGTCATAGCCTTGAGGTCAAGTGCTTTTACATCAGATCATTTCCTTGGGCTAATCATTTATTGCCAAGATACACTACTAAGTTCCAAGAAGCTATTCTCTGCCTATAATGAACTACAACGGACCTTCCTTTGAAGATGGGTAAGATGGAAGGGAATATCTGCTCGTCATTCTGCAATGGTGTAGAGGATGGATTGGATGAGAAAATACACAGGCAGAAAAGTATTTGTCTTTTATAGGACATATATAATTAAATCTTAGATGAGGATTGTGAAAGACAAATGATGAAGAAATAAGCTATTGGCAATGGAGATAATGGAGCTTCATGGATGACCTTGATCAGGTGAGAAAGAGGATCGAGTGTTTTATACAGAGCACACACAGAAATGAGCAACCATTGTACCTATAGCCAGGTGACATGTGAACATATGTGTATTAATGTTCTGGTTTCTTCTTTCCTCTTACTGTCTTAACTGTCTCTGATTTTTATGTCTCACATTGGCTAATAAATCATAAAATAACTTGCTCAGTAGCCTGAGAATAAGCCTTCTGGAAAAGGCACAAAAAAAAAAATATATGTGAGGGATACTGAGTTATAAGGAAGTACTTGGGGAATGGCTGTATAGGAGCCATTTAGCCATTCTAATGTGCTTAGGAGCTAATTTAGGATAGTTTAGGGGAAATGTGCCTCAGGAGATAAGGAATAAATTTGAGCTGGGCTGTATGAGCCATCTAAAGACTCATAGTTAGAAACAAAAGCGATAATTAAAAATCACCATCATAGAACTGTTCAGAACTCAAGACTGGGGATATATTTTTAAATTCCTGTACCAGTGGTTGTTGAGGCTAGAGATGTGACCATCTAGGGGCAGTTTATTTATTTTTAAATTTCTTAAATAGGAGGCTGGAAGACTAAGTTCATAAATAAGGAGAAGGATGAAAGAATGAGAGTCATTTCAGAAGGAGATTTGGGAATAATAGTTTCAGAGGCAGCCTGAAGAATAGTGTTAGACTATTAGAACAGAAAGATCATTCATGGCATGAAGTTACTGGAGTAACTTCTATGCACTGAAAAGTATTCACAGTAGAGTTGAAAAATAAGGAGACTGGGTATAATACTGATTAACAAACACTACTCCGGTGCTAGGCATGAGGGTGTTAAGAAGTTGAGGGGGAAAGGTACATTATACATTGCAATGTAAACAAAAAACAGCTTTGAACCTCTGAATTAGTTTAGTGGGCAAAGTAATAAAAGAGAAAAATCTAAAAGACTTTGTCTTAGTCACTGCTCTGTTGCTATGAGAAGACAGCATGACCAAGGTAACTCTCAGGAAAGAAAGCATTTAATTGGGGGCTGGCT